TTAAATTCAACAACATTCCGCTGCACGAACGCACGCGCACGTGAACACTAAATCATGCTATTAGGATTATTTTTATGTAACCGTTGCCGCGCTTGACGCGACGTGGTATCTTCTATCTAAATATATAAAACTCAAAGGTGAGTGATCTATCAACACACAGCCCAAACCACTGGACGGATCGGACTGAAATTTGGCATGCAGGTAGCTGTTATGACGTAGGCATCCGCTAAGAAAGGATTTTAATTAATTTTACCCCCAAGGGGATGAAAGTTTGTATGAATCTTTGTCAGTTTTAAACCGATCGGGCTGAGACCTCGCATGCATAAAGCTACTATAACGCCAACGTTATGCGTACCTATGTTAAACAGGATGCCTACATCCCCTAAGAAAAGGTTTTAATAAATTCCACCTCTAAGGAAATGAAAGTTTGTTTAAATCTTCTTAGATTATCACTGATTGAGCTGAAATTAAAGATTGATGAAGATGAGGCCTTAATTTTCAACACACGCTAAAAAAAAATAAAGTCGCAAAAACTATAAGTACCTAATTAATAATAATTTTTCTTAACGCGATCGAAGCCGCAGGCGGAACCTAGTTGCATAATAATAGGTTGATTTTTGGTAGATTTATTAGTTCAACATTCTCGTGTAGGTACTAGCGCCAACCTCTTGCTCCTTGCACCGCATCCAAAAGATCCTTTGAAAGAGAAGCATGTTGAGTGGATACCTGTACAAAGTTGTGTGCCGGTTTACCGACTTACCTACAAGATTTAAATTACCTCAAAATGAAAACTAATTTCATGATAGGTATAAGTACCTCTATTATTTCCTCGAAAAAAAGAAGGCTGCAGGTGCTTTCTCAGATTGTTTAGACAGCAGTGACCTCTAAGAAATGATTTTTTTAATACAATTGCTCAAAAAGTGGCTTATTGCAGGGACGTGTTAGTAGACGTGTAGCGTTCAGGATCTGGGCTATTTCACACCAAAGAGTATGTAACCACGATTCACTGCTTTCCCAACTGTCAAAATAATTTCTATTAAAAAAAACAACCATGAGGTTTTAACTAAAAAAAAAGTTTATGCGATTCATGCAAATAGGTTTAATTGTTTCTAAAAAGAAGCTACCTTACTAATTTGTCCAATATCAAAATTACCTAATTATTTAATTGAATGAGTTAGGTAAGGTTTCAGTTCATATCACTAATTTCAATTTCATTTCTGATAATAAAAAATACTAAGTACCTACTAAAGACTTGGCTGTATGAGCAGTTCCCTTTGCCTACCAGAAGGGATGAAAAAAACTGCTTACATTCTACGGTTGGTGCCATTTTCCGAAATTTACTTTTCGCGAGATTAGTTGTTTTTTACACAAAATGAGTGATTTCGATTGAACTGCTTAATTTTCTCGCAACTGTATTAAAAATAGTCGTTCAGTACACGTACGGAACCGTCATTGCAACTCGTTAACTCAGCTTTTCCGTTAGTAATGAAATATACCTAGGTAGGTACTATTGTGAGAGTTTTAAGACTACGACTGGCCGCGTGGAATAATGACTTACCTATGGTAGATTCATTTATAACAAATTATAAGTAATTAAAAAAGTACCTACCTATTATTCCGTTGTAAATTTTATTAACAGTAAGACAGTAAGTACCTAATTAATGATGTGATTCTTTTTGTGTTTGTTAGTCCATTTATCGAGGAAGGCTACATAATATACTTAGGTAAAACATCACGCTACGATATGTAGGAGCCGAGCAGCGGGTGAAACCACGGGTCAATAAATAGCTAATGGTATATAAGGTAGAAGGTAGTACATGTATATAACAATGGTACTATCTTGTTTCAACACCAATAATTATATTTACCAATGGGATAAACAACATACTTTATTTGTTCTCTCGCCCTGCGTAGGGCGTTCTATGCCGTGCTTGGCATTCCTGCGCTTGCAATTACAACCCCAGCTGGACATCGACATTAGTGGTAGTTAATTAGGTACCTAGGTAAGTAGGTACTGTGTTTTTGTGATTATAAGCAATATATATGAGCAAATAGCTTCACTAAGAGGACCGACCGAGAGACTGACACTATATCTTCAAAATTTTTGTTGGACGTTCAAAAGTGCCTGTAAAGGTCTAATTGGAATTAATTATTTTTGACTTTTATAAAACCGATGCAGGTACTTTGGGTACTTCGATAACTTATGAGTATTCGAAGAATGCGTCAGATACTGCTCATAACTAAAGCTGAAGAGAAATTACGTGGGTATAATAAACTAGCTACTCTCGCGCGGTTTCACCCGCTGCTCGGCTCCATTTAATCGTAGCGTGATATTTTTGTAGCCTATAGCAATCAGGAACATTGTAGCTATCTATCAGTGAAAGCATTTAGGCAATCCGACGCGGTTCCAAGGATTACCCCCTACATACAAACTTATAAATTTTACCTCTTTACAATATTAGTATAGATAAGGTAATGACTTAATAAACTGAAAGCTTTGGGTACCTTTAAACATATAATTTTGAAAATAGTAATGATGAAGTTTTTAGCTGGTTCATCTCCAAACGAGACTACATTTTAGAAAGAGCACGTGGCTAGCTTTACTGGCGGACTGAGTATTTTATTTTATGATCCTCGAAATACGTATGTGTTTGAGTTTGAAGGAGTATTGCTGCAATATGGTTGCTAACACACGCAGTCATGCCGTGGCAGCGGGTAGGCACCTATCTAACAGGCATACAGATGCAAGTGCTAAATAAAATAGTATAGGTAGATAGGTATACACGTGTATAGATAGATTAGGTAGAGGCGAACTGGGCAAGAAGCTGCGATTTGTAGGTTGTATGGAGTACGGAGGTACGCGGCGCAGCGCGGGCCGCGCTTCGGGGCCGGATGCCGGGCCGAGTCAAACACTAAGCACCGTCCTCACTGCCGCAGGCGCGACAGTAGGTACCTACCTAGCTACTGCTACCCTATTATTGCGATACTTCTAGTTTGTGATGCTGATACATAGTTACGTACATAATATCCAACGCCGCCGAACAGCTGAGCTTTTTTACGGGATAAGGCGGCAAGTCATCATATTTATCTCCTGATGGGAAACAATCAAGCATCGGCGTAATATGTATACCCACCGTATAAATAAAAATAGATTTATACTGTGATATAACCGTGCCCAATAGACACCGGCAACCCCAGATGGGTTACAAGTGCGTTGCCGGCCTTTATATAGGCGTAGCGGGACGCCCGAAGCTGTCTTGTGTTGTCTTTTTAAAGTTCCCTATAAAAAGTGTCAGTCTGTCAGTCTGTCCTCTTAGTAAAACTATTTGCTCGTTTCATGAAGAATAACCCATGAAACAATGAAACAATGAATTTATTTTTGCAAATAGGCCATAAAACGGCACTTTTACACGTCAATTTATATGTGAAAAACTAGATGAAGCCGGCATTTCCTATCTGACTACTCTGAGAAGAAATTCCGAAACAAACTCAGAGGTCAGTCTCTTTTCAAGTCCAGACAATGTAAAAATAACATAATGTTAGAGAACCGTGCAAGTTTATTCTGTAGTGGTCTTTTGATGAAAGAACCACACCAAGTTTAAGTGGACCCGTTCTGAAAGACAGGCACGCAAGTGTTAGTTTGCAACCAGTATAGCTAGTGCTGCTGAGTTGTCCGACGAACATTACCGATCTAAAGAACATTTGGGTGGGCCGCGCAAGTCTCAGGCGCAAGTACTCAAACTGTCAGAACGCTGATAACTGGTAGGCAAAAAGCGCGGCAAGTCTCACACGGTCCTTACACTAACAACAATAGAAAATAATAATCATTACAATAAATAATTTAAAAATAAAATAAAAAAATGTCAAATAGAAATAAAAATATCACAATATATAGGTGATAATGTCATTGTTAAAAAGTAATGTCAAATTGTATATAAAAAAAAGCGCAACTTATGTTACAAACATGTCAACATGACCTGTGCAGAAGTTACAGCGGCTCATTCCCAAGCCTGACTATCTTTTAAGTAGTCTTTTATTTTATAAAATGCTTTACAGTAATCGTAGTAGTCATTATCTTAGATTCCTTAAATAATTCTCTGAGCGAATGCCTCGGACTAAGATTATAGATGATTGATCGAATAGTCCTTTTCTGCAGAACAAAAATAGACTGAATGTCAGCAGCATTCCCCCACAACAAAATACCGTATGACATGATGCTGTGGAAATAACTAAAATAAACTAACCGCGCTGTATCTACATCTGTTAAATTTCTAATTTTTTAACGGCATATGCTGTAGAACTGGCTTCTTCGACAAGTCATCTATATGTGGGCCCCACTGGAGCTTAGCGTCCAGGGTTATACCTAAAAAGACAGTTGTTTTTTGTTGAAATAGTGCCAGAATGGAATAAGGAAATCAGGATCTGATAATGGAATACCAGTGAAATCGAGGGGAACCTTCAAAAATCTTAGGGGCAAGTAGTGGTTTTCTATGTTGTTTTAGTAGGCATTTTACAATACTGTAACTTGACGAAGGTCAAATTCCACCCGATGATGGAGCCGGAAGAGGTCTCTCCGATTATTTGGAGTAAGTAGTTGTCTTGTGTTTTGGAGAAATGCCACGCCACGTCCTCTTCCTCTTCCAATTGTCACTTACCAGACACGGAGCTTCAGGAGGTCGCTGTTATAGCCGGCTGTAGTAACTGCGAGGGTCACCCAGAGGACACGGTGAAGCATACCGTAGCAGTGTACTTGAGCTCTGAGCACTGCCCTGTCCTCAGTCCTCACGGAAGCGTGCGGAGCAAGAGAAAGGCTACCTCCTTCTTTAATCAGCAACAGTCTGACACTCCCTCTCTCGCTACACCCATGGTTATTATTATACAATAATACTTTCCACCTTAAAAAACTAAAAAGAGCTATTGTGTCTTTTATCGGGTTCCATTTCAGATAGTGAAACAAATTCACGTCCTTTGATTGATCCGGGAATCGAACTCGAAATCCCATGCATTGCGTGCAGCGAAAAACCGCTAGCCGCAGGCATCCCGTTGTTATTCGCTTTCATTTGCGAGGTTCAAGCTTAATAGGCAAGGTACTTGTGGTAGTCCTCGCTGCGAGGACGGGAACGAGCGCGGCGGCGCGGCGCAGGGCGCGGGTCGAGGGCGCGGGGCGCGGGTCGCGGGGCGCGGGGCTCGGGGCGCGGGGCGCGGGGCTCGGGCCGCGGCAGTGGCGCGAGTGTGGTGACGCGATGCGCTCGTTTGTGAGGGCGGCGACACTGGCGGCGCTGCTGGCGCTGGCGGCAGCCGCGGCGCGCCGCAGCGACCAGGACTTCGAGTTTGACGATGACGCGGTGAGCTTCTTCCCGTGCGCCGTGCCTACACACGCCACCCGAGCACGACACTTACATACTTACCGCCTTAACGATTTACATGGAGGCCTTGTCCGTACAAGGAGTTTGGAATGTTTTCAAAATGCTTAACTTAGGTGTCTGCCGCCAAGATTATCTGCCTTTACTAGGCACATATTTCACGCAAGTGTAACAAACAAGGGTTGTAGTTTGTTGCCTCGCTCGATTCGATTTACATACCTACGTACCTATCTACTTATTTGCGGGGTAGGTAGGTATCTAGAATATTTTTTTAACAAGTAGGTAGGTACCTATTGTATAGCCACCGACTAGGTACTGCCTGGTACCTAGATTTTGCGTCCTTAGAGCTGATGTAGACAGAATATGTTTCATAAATGGGTACCGACATGAGACAGGGCACGGTGTTGTTTCTTTCTAGTTAAGTATTTGAGAATAGGTCCGTTAGAGAAACTAGGTAGGTACCGAAGCATTCAATTTGTAGCATGTTTCGTGTACAAAGCACGTAGGTATGATTTGATAATATGAATGTAAATAAACTGAAAGAACAGTAGGCGTGTGTAAGTGCAGCGGCAGTGGCTACAGTTACGAATGTGTTTACCGCTGGTGGCAGGAGGCTGCGGCGGCGCCGGGAGGCGCGGGCCCGCACTGGCGCCGGCCGGCCGGAGCAGGACCTCGCCGCTACGTGTACGACCCGCACAGTGAGTCTCCATGCACGTGCATCTCCTTCATACGCCGACATCAATGTATCACTATGTATTACCTAATACTTCCCACCTACCTATTTATGCTGGTAAACATTATAAACACAGCACGTAAGAACCTAAATAATACGTAAAGAGTCACCTAGGTACACCACAATAACTGGGAAGGATCTGCTCTTTCTGTGAAGCGGTGATGCCCCCCAAGAAGTAGGCAGAACATGGAAGGAACTATCCTCTTCCCTCTGTTCCAGTCACCGTAGTACATAAATAAATAATATAGGTACTTACTTATAATAAATCTGGAGAGAGTGACTAGTGAGCGATACTGATGCCAAAAAATTAATCTGTAAAATGTTTGTCTGTCTGTATGTTCGTTATAGGAACAAAAACTACTCGACATATTTTAACGGAACTTGGCACAATTATTCTACATTTTCCTGGGCAGGTTATAGGATACTTTTCACCAGCTACAATTAATAGGAGCTGAGCACTGAAGGGAAATGTTGGGAAAACGGGAGTATTTACTCCATTTTTGAGATTCCGTCGCGTGTGCAGCCTTGAAGGTTAAAGATGCAAAGAAATTGTGTATGACAGAAGTGTTTTGATCCGGCTGCCACCACCCCCAGGTACCAGCCCAACCTGTTACCAGACAATACACATTGCCTTTCATGGCGTCTTGGCATGATTTATATGTAAGTACCTATACCTAATGCAATAGAGACAAAGAAAGACGAGTGTGTTTGATACTAAGCATCACGTACCTACTGACTTTGATTTCTTTCCAAGACGAGCTAGCATCGAAAGTTATTTTATAGTAGGATGTGCAGCACCTACCTGACATAATAATTTGGTCAGTATTTGCAATGCTTGACGTTTACATAATATACATGTATTTTGCGTGGAGTGTCTGTGTATCAAGGTTATGCACCAATGAAATATATGGAACGCCCAGTTTTGTGAACCCAAACAATGTGTTGCAGACTCGCTGTGCCGCTCGCTGGTGTGTAAGAAGCGCGAGGTGTGCGTGCTGCGGGACTCCTTCACTGCGCTTTGTGCCACCAAGAAGGATATCTTACGGCGAGGGTACGTGTCTATTCTTTTACCACTTACAATATCATTTGGCTAGATACGCTGCTCTCAATATTTTCGAGTCTTCGGTGTAGCTGCAAGAAAACGATCTTAAGTGGTAGTGCTATGGTCTGCAATGAAACTCTGTCCCGACACTTTAACCAAAGTTAACGCATATATATGGAATAATACATGCTTTCATTTAATTAAATAGCAAATAATATTAATAACTATTTTATAATCTTGAATTCGGTGGCAAGTAAAACACAAATACACGATGTGCATTGTCGGACCAGTGACACGTTAGTGGCGGCGAGCAGCAGCGGGGCGGCGTGGGAGGAGGACGCGCGCGACGACACCGACGACGACGTCTTCTACGACACGGCGGCGCACGACACCGACGCCGATCCGGACCTCGACGCAGACGATGCCAAGCGGTGAGCCATTCCTTCCTACGCATTGCATACTACTAGTATTCAACTAATAATCAGTTCCTCGCTGGCATTTTTCTTCTAAAATAGCGACTAACAATAGCTAAACCAAACCACATAATAAAAAAAATATTTGCTACCTTAACAGCAAGCCTTACATGAGTTATATCTTCCTTCATGGGCTGGCTTGACTTTCGGTCGCCTGTTCTAATGTATTCCAATCAATATCCGCTCCGGGCACGCTACTATAGCATCGGTAAGACCCCTCTTTGAGGAGTGGCTTGAGAGACGCCACGGCGTCCTCACTTTCCGCCTGACGCAGGTGCTTACCGGGCACGGCAGCTTTGGTAGGTTTTTGAGGACCACCTAGAGGATACGGTGGAGCGTACGGTAGCGGTATGCCCTGCCTGCGCTGAGCACCGCCGTGTCCTCAGGGAATTGATCAGCGGCGGCGACCTCTCGCGCCCGGCCTTAGTCGAGGCCATGGTGCGGAGTGAGAGGAACTGGGACGCCGTCTCCTCCTTCTGTGAAGCAGTCATGCTCGCAAAGAGAGGGGCGGCCCGCGTGAGGGAGTTATCCTCCTTCTCACGCCCCAGCCGCCGCAACCGGCGATACTACGGGTGTCGGGGATCAAGGGACGATCTCAGGCCACCGTAAGCGGGTTTGCGGCCGGCGAGTAAGGGCTCGCCGCCCGACCAGAACCAGGCCCGAGCGTACGGCGCGTAGCCTTCCGCGCCTCAAAGAGCCAATAGACCACCTCAGACGGGGCCCCATAGGGCTGATGTTCAGCCGGGGTTGCGGGATCGGTAAGCGCAATGAGGCACCGCGACCTTGGCCCAGAGCAGGGGAAGGAACAGGGGGGTTTTTAGTCAGTAAGAATCTGACGCTCCCTCCCGCCCGGTCCTAGGCGGGAGAAGTCATTTGATAATTTTACCTTCCCAAAAAAAAAAAGTATATATCCGCTCGTCAATCTAGCATTTCTAGTTCTAGTTTGGTGTCTTTTTTGTACTCTGTGCTAGAGCTGAGAGCTGTCCGGCTCGAACTGATTTTTTATTTAAGTACCTGTTCTAACCCATCGTCTACTTACTCTCTATTACACGTGTAGATAATGCAATGTTTTGTAATTTGTAGCGATGTAAAGTTAATGTAAAGTTTTCTAGCGATTTAGCATCGTAAGGGAGCAAAATGTAAGTAGCGTTGTGTCGAGACAATAATTTGTGTGTGTCAGATGCGTGGGTTGCGGGGCGGGCGCGCGCGCGCAGTTCCTGTGCGGGTCGGACAACCGCACGTACTCGTCGCTGTGCCGCCTCGACCTGCACAACTGCGTGCGGCGCGCCGCGCGCCCCGTGCGCCTCGCCTGCCGCGGCTTCTGCCCGTGCGCGCCGCGCGCCCCCGCGCCCGAACCGCGCGCCCCCGGCGATTCGCCCCGCGCCCCCGCCGCAGAGCCGCGCGCCCCCGCCGCCGTGCCTCGGGCTCCTCGGCGCCGCGCTCGCCTACGCTCGCGCCCGGACCACTACGACGTAACTCTACTCTCTATTGCATTATTGCCCTACCCTCTTACATACAGTCAAAGACATACACCACAATGACAGATTGTTGGTAGGTACACAATTCGACTGTCTAGTTATGTCGAATGGTGAGAAGAGTCGTAGATAAGTATCCACTACCGGACTTGGTGTTTCCGATTCGGATACAGTTTGGCTTCATGCATTTTAAGCTGAAAATGCTGAAACATCTGTCAAATGACTGATGGTTGGCTCGGTTGCTGGGCAACTGGCTGCCGCGCAACGTGTCGCGGGTCCGATTCACGCACGGAACAACTCTTTGTGTGATCTACAGATTATTGTTTCAAGTCTGGGTGTGATCTGCACGTGATATTCTATGTTTGTAACCGCACCCTCAGGATAAATTCCTAATGGGGGGAAACGTTTAAAAAGAAAACAGATACACACGTCGTACGGTTCTCCTCTTCTTATTTTCAAGTAAAGTCAACGATTTTCGCGCTACTTAGCAGATAGTAGCAAGTCCTCTACATGCTAGGTACTGTCTGCTCAGCGGGCGGCAAGCAAGGGTAGCTCGCCGCCTCAAAGATCACCACACATGATCCAATAGTGCAATAAAATACTGCGACCTGGAGCAAGAGAACGAACAGGGTGTCGTCAGTAAGAGCAAACAGGAAACCGAAAATGTTATATGGTACCTATTCACTTTACTCAAATCATCGCATACCTCGAAGACACGGCGGCTGTAATTCATGATAGACTGGTTTGAAACTGGATTAGTATCGTATATATATACTACAAGCTACTAAAAAAAGGACCGTCATCATTTGTCAACTTATCATTTACTTTTGTGTCGAACAAGAAGACCGATATTCTATGGTCAGACATCCATCGGCAGCTGATGCAGTATGCACCAAAGAAGTTGCAAGTGCGTTTTGAGGTTCACTAACAGTTTCACGCTATGATATAATACGTCATTGCTATCATGCTAGTTAACGACTTCAGAAAACAGAGAAGGTACTATGTTCGGCTGATTGTTTTTTTTTTGTATGTTCACCGATTACTCCGCCATTTATGAACCGATTTTCAAAATTCTTGTTTTCTTTGAAAGGTTATACTTCCGAGGGGGTCCCATTTTCATGAGGTCAGGATACGATGATGGAATCTTAGGGAAACCGAGGGGAACTTTCGAAAATTGTAGGGGCGAGTAGTGCTTTGGATATTGTTTTAGTAGGCTTTTTACAACGGTAAAACTTGCCGATGGTCGAATTCGTCCTGATGATGGAGCCGGAAGACAGTCGAGGGATCTCCTTGATTATTATAGTCCGCTCAGGGAACTCCTGAACGGTTTACAGTAACTACATTGTGTTTGGACTTAATTAATTCCTTTATATCAATGAAAACTTCGCACCTATATGGGTTACAATAGATTTATGCAGTAATTTGATGATGGAGCTAGAAGACTGTCGAGGGATCTCCTGCACTATTTGGAGTAGTTGCCTTGTGTTTGGGCTTGAATGATTCGTATTGGTGAGCTCTTTGCACCAAGATTACAGCTGAGGTGAAGCAGCGCTTTAGTTGTGTTTCGTCAAGTGAGTGAGGGTACCGGAGGCCAAACACCCGACTTCCCATTCAATGCCGCAGTTTTATTGTTCTTTTTTAAACCAGGAGGGTACCATGCTGTTCATCACCACCTTGAGACAGCAAAGCCGGCCTTGCTCTTTTTGACTGAGACGCAGATATCGTCACAGCACACAGCTTACCTTACCTACCCAGGTATGGACTAGAACATACATTCCCGTCCAGGGCCGGGGTGTGCGTGTACGTCAGGGACGATGACAGCTCTCGTCGCCTCAGAAATCTTGAAGGTAGGGACCTATCAATCTTAGGGCTACTTGTAGATAGAGACGACCACCCCCGCATCTACACGTGCCTTTATAGGTCTCATAGCGGTGATAGCGAGACTGACCGACTTATGGAACACATCCAGATGGATGTAGATTTTCTGCAACAGCAGATACCCTTAGCGGAGGTCGCTGGTCTACTTGGTGATTTTAATGCCCATAACGCCGACTGGCTTGGCTCTAGTAGGACTGGCCACGCGGGGAGATCTGTCCACGACTTTGCCCTTGCTTCTGGTCTTCCACAACTGGTTACCGTGCGAATCTCAGATGTGGAGGGCCAGAGGCCTTCACTGTTGGACCTTCTGCTGACCTCTCATCCGGACGGCTATAACATCACAGTTAATGCGCCTATTGGCTCATCAGACCACGGCCTCGTCCGGAGTACGGTGCCTTGTACTTGCGCGCCGCGTGTCAAAGTTGCTCGCGATCGCCGAGTGTGGCACTACAGGTCAGCGGATTGGGATGGGATGAGATCCTTCTTTGCATCCTACTCGGAGACAGGTTTGCTTCTCGCAGGATGATCCCAAAGCCGCTGCTGTCTCCGTTGCTGATGTGGTGCTGCAGGGAATGGAACTTTTTGTTCCGTCCTCTGTGGTCCCCGTCGGTGGCAGATATCGGCCTTGGTTCGGCTCTTCTTCTAGAAAAGCTTCATGCAGGAAGCAAAAGGCTTACCGAGGCTGGGCTGATGCGGTGGCGGCACGGGATGTAAATACCAGCGCGCTAAAAAGGAGTATAACTTTGCCTCCAGGTCCTTCAACACAGTCACAGAGTCATAGCGGGGGCCAAGTCAAACCATATCGGTAGAATTGGGGAGAGGCTTGAGCGCCTTCCGTCAGGAACTCGTGCGTTCTGGTCTTTCGCCAAAGCTATCGAAGGCAATTTCTACAGACTATCATTCCCACCTCTGCACATGAGGGGAGAATCGTTAGCACACGACACAAAGGAAAAAGCCCAGCTTTTAGGTAAATTATTTCCGTCAAATTCGACTTTGGACGACGGGTCCGCCGGTTCTGCCGTGGCGCGGGTGTGATATTCGGTTTCACCAGCGCTCGGTACGATTAGCGCTCATGTCTCTTGACGTCCATAAGTCAAGTGGGCCTGACGGAATTCCACCCATTGTGTTAAGGATGTGCGCTCCAGAGTTGGCACCAGTCTTAACACGTCTTTTTCGGCTCTCATACTGTTCAGGCGTAAGCCCGAAGTTATGGAAGACAGCTTTGGTCCACCCGATCCCTAAAAAAGGTAATCGCACAAATCCGTTCAATTACAGACCGTTCGCCATAACTTCTCTCTTCTCGAAAATAATGGAGTCATCTATTAACTGCCAGCTCCTTCAGTACTTGAAGAATCATCAGCTTCTTAGTGACCGACAGTACGGTTTTCGTAAGGGCCGGTCCGCTGGTGATCTCCAAGTTTATCTGACACACCGTTGGGCGCAGGCGATCGAGTCCATGGGGGAAGCGATAGCAGTCAGTTTGGACCTAGAGAAGGCCTTCGATCGGGTTTGGCATAAAAGGCTTCTTACGAAGCTACCTTCCTATGGGCTTCCCGAGAAACTGTGTAAATGGGTATCCAGCTTCCTTGCATATAGAAGCATAAAGGTCGCGGTCAACGGTGAATGCTCTAATTGCTTGCCTGTGAAATCTGGCGTACTCTCGTACTATCGCCCATTCTGTTCCTCCTCCATATCAATGACATGTTGCAAATTAGTGGCATTCATTGTTATGCGGATGACAGCACGGGCGATACCTTTTACGCCGGTCGTGCTAACATTTCATAGAAAACGTCATAGAGAGTCGAAACAGGCTTGTGTCTGAAATCGAGACTTCTTTAGAAAGAATCTCAGATTGGGGTAGACTTAACTTAGTCCAATTTAACCTCACAAAGACACAGGTCTACGTGTTCACAGCTAAAAAACTGCCGTTGGTATCTTCTCAATTTCAGAGCACCCCCCTCACAGCCACAGCCGGTATTGGGATACTTGGCGTCGACATATCGAGCGTAGTCCAGTTCTGCGGTCATCTAGAGGGTAAGGCCAAGTTAGCCTCGAAGAAGCTTGGTGTGCTCAATAGATCCAGGTAGTATTTCACCCCGGGGCATCGCCTGCTACTTTACAAGGCGCAAGTTCGACCTCATATCTAATACTGTTCTCATCTTTGGGCGGGGGCACCCCAGTACCAGCTTCTCCCTCTGGACCGCATTCAACGACGAGCTGTCCGAATCGTTGACTGCCCTGTTGTCTCGGACCGGTTGGACTCTTTGGCACTGCGTAGGGATGTTAGCCTCGCCATATTATTATATGTATGCTCTACCACCTCTATCACAGGGAGTGTTCTGAGGAATTGTTCGGTTTGATCCCCGGCGCATCTTTTCGCTATCGTTCCACGTGAAAACATGTTCATCCCCATCACATAGTTGGTTGGCAGTCAATAACTGTGCGATTCACGCGTAACTTTCTGCCCCGCACAGCAAAGCTTTGGAATGATCTTCCGGCGGCGGTATTCCCGAACCGATACGACCTTCAAACCTTCAAGAAACGAGCGTACTCCTTTAAAGGCCGGCAACGCACCTGTGACTCCTCTGGTGTTGCAAGTGTCCATGGGCGGCGCCGATCGCTTACCATCAGGTGATCCGTCTGCTCGTTTGCCTCCTATTCCATAAAAAGATTAGTCGTGACTGTCATTAGGGGTCTGATGATGAGTGCAAAGGAGGAGCTCAGAGAACTCCTGAACGGTTCACAGTAACATCTCGTGTTTGGACTTAATTCATTTATGTCGATGGGTTTGAGGACCACCTCTTTTTTCTCTTTTTGAGGATACGGTGGAGCATACGGTGGTGGTATGCCCTGCCTGGGCTGAGCACCGCCGGGTCCTCAGGGAAGTGATCGGCGGCGGTGACCTCTCGCGCCCGGCCTTAGTCGAGGCCATGGTGCGGAGCGAGAGGAACTGGGACGCCGTCTCCTCCTCCTGTGAAGCAGTTATGCTCGCAAAGAGGGGGGCGGCCCGCGTGAGGGAGCAATCCTCCTCCTCACGCCCCAGCCGAGGCAACAGGCGACACTACGGGCATACGTAAGCGCGGGTTTGCGGTCGGCGAGTAAGGACAGCTCGCCGCCCGACCAGAACTAGACCCAAGCATACGGCGCGTAGCGTTCCGCGCGCGCCTCAAAGATCCAATAGACCACCACAGACGGGGCCTCATAGGGCTGATATTCAGCCGGGGTTGCGGGGTAAGCGCAATGAGGCACCGCGATCTCGGCCCAGAGCAGGAGAAGGAACAGGGCGGTTTCTATTCTGTAAGAGTCTAACACTCCCTTCCGCCCGGCCCTGGGCGGGAGAAGTCATTTGATGATTTTCCCCTCACAAAAAAAACCTATATGGGTTACAATGAAGTTATGGAGTAAATTTGTTTCAAGAAGTTTCAAGAAGTTTCAAGAAGACTGTCGTGGGATCTCTTTGACTTTTTTGAATTTGATTGATTTGATTTGATTTGACTTTTTGGAGTAATTATATCTTGCTTGGACTTAATTCATTTATATTGATGAGAACTTTGCACCTATATGGATTATGTAAGTATATTGAAGTACAATTGTGGGAGTGTGTGGGAGACTGATTATTTTTGTAAAAAAAAAAATGTTTTTTTTTTTATACATGAGGGTGTGAGATCGAAACCTAGCAAGTACCAATGTGACTTTTTCCGAGTTATGTACTTTCTATGATTATTTAGACACCACTGACAAACGGTGAAGGTAAACATCGCGAGGAAACCTGGACTCATAATTTCTAATTATAAGTTTGAAATCGCCAACCCGCATTGAGCAAGCGTAGTGGTTAATGCTCAAACCTTCTCCGTGTGAGAAGAGGCCTTTGCTCAGCAGTGGGCACTTATGGGCTGATGATGATGATCATGAAACTGGTTATTAATATTATTTTCCATTTAACTATATGAAAACATGTATTAATTTCTACATCGTGAATTTTTTTGCATTTTAGTTTACTTTTTGAAGTCTGATTATTTTCTATGAGGCCATTGTATTACTATAGCTTAGCCCATTCGACTCTTTCGTCAAAATCGTCGAAATTTTGTCCCGTACTATGATTTTTTCCGTATAATGTCACAAGCATACATCCAGACCCGGAACAAGTATTAACGGATCATAAGAAGAGTGGTTTCGACACGTTATATTAGCTAGGCACTGCTTTTAGTACCTGCTGCTTTAATAGTGGTAGTGTTATTTCTATATCACTTGTTTATGTTGAAAGAACACGTTACTTGTATCAGTTGTTTATCATAAAAAATTCATTTCACTCGGGTAGGACTGGCGACGACGAAAGTCTGAGTCTTCACACAATGAAGTACTACCGGAGAGGCAGTCGAGGCGGCGCCTCGCACAAGGTGAGCTTTCTGTTCTCTTCTATGAGTGTCAAGTTCAGATTCGGAACATGCCAGTTACCATGTATCGATCACGTCAGAGTATACAGCAGCATTGTTTAACGTTTGCAGGATCCGAAGGCTGCGCACTGGACAAAATGGCGAATCGTCTTTTGGACTGGTTCTCAGTACTAATGGACGAAGCGGGAGCGAGCGCGCCGCCGGTGGACGGTTAGTATAGGCCCGGCGCGGCGTCGCGGCCGACGAGGGTGGGTAGTGACGGCAGTGACGTGTCCGCAGGGTTCCCGCGCGACTGCAAGCCCGAGGTGCGCTGGATGTTCGCGCACCTGGACACGGACGGCGACGGCCTGCTGTCCGCCGCCAACCTGTACGCGCTGCGCCACGACGAGCGCGAGCGCTGCCTGCGCCCCTTCCTGGCGTCGTGCGGCGGCGCGGGCGCGGGCGTGGCGCGCGCGGCCTGGTGCGGCTGCCTGCGGCGCGCGGCGCGGCCGTGCCGGGCGCTGGCGCGGGCGCTGGCGGGGGCGGGCGCGGGGGGCGCGGGGGGCGCGGGGTACGTGCCGGCCTGCGACGCGCGCGGCTTCTACCGGCCGCGGCAGTGCCACGCCGCGCTCGCCGTGTGCTGGTGCGTGGACGCGCACGGCCAGGAGCTGCCCGGCTCGCGCACCAAGGGCGCGCCCGCCTGCCCCGGTGCGTACTTATACAGCGCTCGCCCCACGACTCGTGTCGCGTCTTATGGTCTGCCATTGTCTGTTTGTACGTCGTTATTGGATTACAGGTGAAAAGTCGGAGAGCGTAGAGGGTGTGGAGAGCGCAGAGAACGAGGTCGCGGAGGGCGAGGAGGGCGCGGGGGCCGCCGGGGACGCGGAGGGCGCGCCGGCGGACGACGAGGACGGCGCGGGCAGCGGGGACGCGGAGCTGCACTTCTAACAAGTTTATTGTAAAGCCTACAACCAGCAATATTTACTTAAAATATCATCCTGGCATCATCTGTATTCCATGTTTATTTGAATATCATGATCTAAATGTCGTCTATTTTAACCTAACTTAAGTAAATGAGTAAATCTAAATGTGGGGAAGCAGGTACCTACTACTCCTAAAATCAATCGTACACCCGACCCGTAATACATCCTCGTAAGTTAATCATCAGCAACAGCCCGTCAATCGTCGTCAACGCACGTAACACGTAATGTACAATGATCGATGTATCAATCATTTATAACTCACTCCATGATATTATGAACGAGTGACTTTCTTTACCATTCGATTTACTCGTAGAGTGTGCTCACTAGTACCTACCCAACCTGATTTAATCCGATTATAGACCTATAGACCTACCATAAGTCGCTAGTAGCTACCTACACATGTAGGCGTCGGACACGGTAATACCACGGTACATACAGATTGCAAGTATTGCCGTGCCTGCGAGCGACGTCCGAGCGTTCGTTGCCCGTGGTACTAGTTGCTGAATATTTATATCTAGGTATTGTGTAAAAGCTATCTGGCTTGTACCAGGTATTAGTTACTGGTGGAGTGACGGGCAACAGTGACGTGCGAGAAGCAGTCATGGCTATATGTATGTATTTCCGCAGAGGTTACTCAAGTCTCTTTATGTTCGTAGTGTGACCTCTACACTAATAAAATAGAATACTTACTTTAGTTCCGCGAGAGTAACCATGTGCGGTAAACATGTACTACGATCCAGAATAACATTCTATGTTTGTGTATAAGTAAATAGGTAAAAATATTATCTGTAAAGTAACGCAAATAAAAATATACTTAGTCTATATTTATGACACAAAAGTATTTAAAAATATAAGTAAACAATTTTATATTATTATAGTAGATAAATGTAAGATTTTAAGAGGGGTCTGTTTCGTGGTAGTTGTTGATAAGTTACGGACGCACGATGAATTCGTGTTGCTATGACTCCGACGACAGTCCCAGTGTGACCTGAATGCGGTGTGAATGTGTTTATTCGTTACAATGCAATTATGACGAGTAGTTGCTACAGTCGTACACCTGCCCAGGTAACAGGCCCGTCTTTCAGTATGCTTACGTTGCCAAGACCCCGCTAAATCTTAAAAATAAAATAATGTGTGTACCAATGTACTGAGTGGGTAATTACATGTTATGATGTAGTACGCAGATTTTGCCTTTGTTTAGTTTATTCAAACAGCTTAAGATATGACATGGTTATAGGTACGACGGGGAATAACATAATGTGGTACCTAATGCCCTTTCTGTTTTGTTTATCTACGTATGTAGTAGTGCCGACACAGGTAGCAATGACAATATAAATTACTATCTACCTGCTACGTAGGTCATGGTTACTTGCATGACCTACGTAGCAAGTAGAGGTAGTAAACTGTACGTTCACTATAACCGTGGCACATCTTACCCTCTGTTTCCTGCAACTCTACGAATTGGCCTAAGAGAATAGATGTTTATTCATCGATGTAACCGTCCCCACACATCTGCAATTTACTGTTCAAATAATAATAAGTTATACCTAGAACTAGATCACTAGAAATAGATATAGGTAGACTCACCTACCTACTTGACTACTTTTTCAAATACAAATTTATAAAAACAAAGTAAGGACATTAAACGTGTTTAATTAATTGATTACAATAAATTTAATTATTATTGTTTATTTATTTAAAAATAAAATAATAAAATGTATTCACCTCCACGTCTTCCCAGGGCCAGATTGGACCAAAAGGCTCCTATCAAGTCTATCAACAATGATAACAACAAAAAGACATTATAGAATAGTTTTTCAACCGCATGGGGTAGGTAGATACCTATCGATACCATTGAAATAAAATGTTATTGAAAATCTAGAAGATTAGCAGCCGAAGCTTAAATGTCAGTGACATGGAATCTATCTACATACACTTAAATAAATCTGTAGAGAGGTCAATTCTATACATGAAATGTATTTTCGAAATAACTATTAGGGGGTGATAAGTGATCGATACTGGTACCAAAAATGTAATCTGTAAAATTTTTGTCTGTCTGTCTGTCTGTACCTATGTTCCTTAAAGAAACAAAAAGTACTCGACAGATTTTAACCAAACTTGGTACAATTATTCTTTATATTCCTGGGCAGGATATGGGATACCTTTCATCACGCTACAATTAATAGGAGCAGAGCAATGAAGGGAAATGTTTGGAAAACGGGAGAACTTACTCCATTTTTTTCGCTTCCTTCGCGTGTGTAGCCTTAATGGTTAAAGTTACATAGAAATCATGTAGGTATGACGGAAATAAAGATTTTGGGGGATATTATGTAGTTAATTTTATGTTCAACATAAAATATTCCCCAACAGTATATGTATATTTTTTATGGTTGACTCACAATAACACATGTAACTCCTGATAGCTCAGCAGTTCGGAGCATTCTGATTATTTGTGTTCCTTTACGTTTATAACACTCTCATTTATCCAGTTATCCTTAATTAAAAATTTTACATTATTATCTACCTATTCAATAAAAAAAGAATGATAGAAATCAATATACATGCGTGCACCTTTTCGACGCTATGCTTCAAGTTTAATAATCAATATCAATACAAGTGATAAACAGTCAAAGGTCTGAGTCTGCACATGGAAGATAAATAAGAAAATCTTTACAAGAGGAACTTTATATAAGTATACAATGGAAACCAAAACAATGTGTACTTAGTAATTTTTATCCTTGAATATGCATACCTATATTCACTTCCATACCCAGAACCAAGCGGACGAAGTCGCAGGCACATCTAATTTTATAAGTATTTCATGTACAGATTTTACCTGTCTACAGATTAATAAAATTATAAGTAATAGAATAAGAATGCCAGGAACTTATGTTTTATCGGTTTTTGAGTTGTTTCCATGTATTGCTATAAGTTTTCCCCAAAATTCTGTGTTTATTTTATTTCAATCATCAATGCTATCAATGAGTAAGTAACTCTGTCTAACTGTCTGTCTCACCTACTTAACCGATTTGGTAAAAATTTAGTACAGACATAGTTTTTATCAAGGGAATTCAAATGGAGATCTTCCCGAAATCCCCACGAGATCGGGAACTATGTGGGTAAAACCAAAAATCTTCCAGAAGTCATTATTTCACGCAGACGAAGTCGCTGGCACAGCTAGTTCATAATAACGATTAGGAAGTGCGTTTCATAAATAACCGATATCTATCCATTGGTACTAATTAGGAATAACATTAATTAAACGTATTCTTCAATGTTACCTACACAAAGTTCAAAATTGGAAAAAAAACCGTATCAATGTCCATCAGTGGGGTCGATGACGGGCATGTACCTATGCCTATCTCTCTCTATAGGAGGCAATCACTATTCAAATTCTTGTACCTACCTAGGAATCTTTTTCTATTAACCGTCTTGTTGCGACTTACGAACGAGGGCTTTCTGGGTTCGCCACCCAGGGGGCAATTCTCAAATTTTTTATTTTTGTAAATCTTCAAGAGCACAGTCTTGAACATCCTAATCCTATAGCCCTGGGTTAAGTGAGAGGCATTGATAGTTTCTCAATGATGAAAAGCAACCCCGTTCCAACTCCTGCTTTACGGGGTGTCGCCGCGGTTGCGAGTAAGATACCCAAATACCACGGTATTTGGGAAAAAGGCATGACATTAAAAATGTATATTTTTTTTTTTTTTGTGAGGGGAAAATCATCAAATGACTTCTCCCGCCCAGGGCCGGGCAGGAGGGAGTGTCAGACTCTTACTGACTAAAAACCCCCCTGTTCCTTCTCCTGCTCTGTGCCGAGGTCGCGGTACCTTATTGCGCTTACCCCGCAAACGGTACCTAATGTAACTACTTAATACCCATGTTTCATGTTAGTAATTTATTAATAGGTATTGCAGTCATAGACTACCTATCCTATACAACATATGTATACTGCGATTTAGGTATTTGTCGTCGGAAAATCATCAATTGACTTGTCTTCTCTCGCCCAGGGTAAGGCGAGAGAGAGTGTCAGACTCTTACTGACTAAAACCGTTCCTTCTACTGCTATGGGCCAAGACCGCGGTGCCTCATTGCGCCTGCCCCGCAAACTCGGCTGAATATCAGCCCTGTAGGGCCCCGTTTGTGGTAGTCTAATGACTCTTTGAGGCGCGCGCGGTTCGCGCGTGTGCGGTTCTGGTCGGGCGGTTAACTACCTTTATTTGTCGTCCGCAGACCTGCGCTTAGGGCGGCCGGAGATCATCTCTGGATACCCGACGCCCGGAGTATCACCTACTGCGGCGGCTGGGGCGTGAGGAGGAAGAGGATAGCTCCCTCGCGCGATCGGCCTCTTTCTTTGCGAGCATAATTTCTTCACAAAAAAGAGGAGACGGCTTCCTAGTTCCTCTCGCTCTGCTCCATGGCCTCAACTAAGGCCAGGCGCGAGAGGTCGCCGCCGCCGATCACTTCCCTGAGGGAGAACACGGCGGCGCTCAGCCCAAGCAGGGCACACCGCCACCGTAATGTGTACTGACTGTACTGAGATTGCAGTTTTGTATTGACATTGGCCAGGGCCTTGACGCACTTCGTTTTTCTTATGAATATTTTATAGGTACTTAATTACTTTAGATTTAATATTAATTTATAGAATGATAATTATTTTACGTTATAAGCTAGCAAGTACGTACAAATAGCATTTAAATAATCACACTAGTTAGAAAATTATTTGCACTTTTTTATGTCTGTGTCTGTACCTACTCTAATAAATGAATAAAACTTATTGACTTTTCTTTACAAAAATCACCAATAAATTATAATAAAGTAGGCACCTCCCTGTAACTACCTATGCTACGTGTCTTAGATCATGATAGACTCGTCTTCTGTGCTGACAATTTTTTCCTGCCCTATAACCTACAATAAATTAGTTGGGAAACAATTTTGTGTAGGACCATTTTCCCCAAATTTCCTTTTGATTCGAGTGAAAACGGCATTGTACCAAATTAATCTCAGACGGCGAGGTTACCCCCCATTCTCAATCCTCAAATCCCCTATGAATCCTTAAATCTCTACTAACCCACAAGTGCTGAGTGTCCATGAGACATACCTACTTAATTTTATTTATAGTTCGATTTTGTTATTTTTACTAGCTGCTTTTTATCAACAAACCATGCGGGTGAAAGCTAGTTTCCTATATCTATACTAATTTTATTAAGAGGTAAAATTTGTAAGTTTTTATGTAATCTTTAGAACCGCTGGTTGATTTCCAAAATTCTTTCACTTATAGATAGCTACAATGTTCCTGATTGCTATAGGCTATAAAACATCACGCTACAAGTAATTGGAGCAGAGCAGCGGGTGAAACCACTTCAGTATTCACCATTAAGTATTGTTGCCATTCCCAAAATTCTGGTGGTAACCCAGAACCACAATGATGTAGAAACCATGTCAGGTCACAAATAAATGTGAATTTTATTACTGAACCAGCTTAGGATTTAAAGTGGCATGTGGATTGTGAAGAGGCACTGTCCAAATTATTGGGTCAAAGCAGAATAAGTATGAAAAATACTGCACCATCATTATATTATGTATTTTTAAGTAAGTAACAACTACAAATCTGGTAACAGTACTATTGGTATTACTGCTTTGTAAGGCATATAGGGATGCCATCCATCCAGGTTTCACAACATGCAACCTTAGGTTCTCAGTTCAAACTCCCTGCTAATTCATCAAACCCCAAGTGAACGCCGGCATTCACTCAAATCGGTCTTGAATTACCACAATTGAATTCTCTCCTGTTAGCATTATTTTGCTGTGCCCTACAGGGTCCATAATTGATCTCACACAAATTATTACCACCTTTAAATGTACTTATGAAAAAGCAATAAAGATATTGAGTATTGAAAAGTTGATAAACTAAAATTCCCTCATAACTGAAACTAATACTTCACTGAAAACTGGGTCCAAGTCAGTTCAGCTAATTGTGAACTCACATACATAAGATAAAACGGAAAACTTTTTTTTTAAATTGCTTTAAAATAAGTTGTGGTGTAAGCTCCTAAATCTGGGGAACTTCGTGCTTACCATCATGAGATGCAACATAATCTCAAGACTGTCACTTATTAACTAGAATACCTAAACGGTCAATGGCCTTAGGGGCGGGGATCTACCTGTAAGTATCTGGTGAGATTCACACAAATTTACTTAGGTTATGTTAAGATCGAATACTCACTTTCAGGTTAAACAATAAATAAATAAATAGATTAAGATTGCTTAATGATTATAATTACATGAATACATCTAAATAAATATACAATTTACTAGGTTCACATCGATTTACTTCTCTTCTTCGTCTTTGAATTTTCCTCCATAAAATGGGATGTTGGCGCAGAACAGCTTCCAATCCGTGAAGTAGAGGAGACCAGTGAAAGCCGCGCCTCCAAACCCGACGGCCGATGTAGCGAAGGACGCTGCTATTTCTACGTGTTTCTTTCCCAAGCGACCCAACATTTTGTTCAGTATATTGTCTCGTTCGATAAGTGGATGTATTGTACTTTTGTGGTTACGTAAATCTATTCCGTCTGTTCCTCAGCAGACAGCACAGTAATAATTGTCAAATTTCAAATTTGTCAATTAAATGGCGTTTGATGACTTGACACTGACAGATGACAAAGTCAGCTTTATAGGGTCTGCCCATCTGCCATACCTACCTAGGTATTCCTCCATGCATACCATAGACGAATAAGTGCCTCTAGCAGTAAGTATATGAAACCTTTAGGCTTCTGACACGGAAGATACCATACACTTTTATTTCAGAGTTTATTTTATTGATTGATCGCAATTTGTCAAAACCCTAACCACCAGGAGTTGTATTGTAACCCTTCAATTTAATTTAATATAAGACTCACTATAGTAACTGTGCTTATTACAAGTAAGTATAAATGACAGTAAGTACCTACCAAACTATAGAGCAAATAATGTGCTGCTTGTCACTTTATATCTTTATCATGAAAATGTAATGTGTGAATGTGAATTTTACATTGACATAAGAAATATATGGACTTGAAATACCTACGAAAAAAAGGTGCCTACCTACAATCCAAAATGTCGCATAAGATGGCTGCCGTTGCTAGGGTTGTGCCGACTAAGTATTTAACGAGTATCGATACAATTTGAGTAAAATATCTACGTAGGTATAGTTTTAGGGATTAGCCTGCTGATTAACGGTATTTTTTTATAGGAAATCATCTAATGTCATCTCCGACCCTTTTCCTGATAGACAGTAACTGACTAAAATCAACTCCTGTTCCTACTTTGCCGTCGGCCTAGCTAGAGCCCGGAACCCGGGGTTGCTTTGGTTTCTTGATTGGCTAATGATATTCTCAAGTAAAATTTGTATTCACATAATTCTACGTAAAGCGTCTTTTAAAAAAATAGGACTGTGTTTATGAACAGCGTTTAATGGAATGGTGAAATAGAAAAAGATAGTGTTTGTTAAATGTATATCTTTATATATGTGGAAAACCTGTGGGTATTTGTGAAGTGCTCGCGCACAATTTCGGCGCGTCTGATTAAACGATGATATCTTCGAAACTACGTTAGCACAAAATAGATATGTAGTGAAGTCAATCTTATTGTATGTATCTCACTTTTTATTATTACGCTTGGTGGTCGCAATGGGATCGTCGCCAACCGAGCGAGCCCGTATAATTATAAAACATGATAATTTGAACTTCTACTTATGTAACTAAAACCAATACTAAAATACTGACGTCTTACTTTAGCGTTACAAAAAACTGCGGAAACATTCATTGTTAAAATAGATTATTTAGTATATGTTGAATTTTAAATGTGAGATTATATCGATACTTTTGTGAAATGGTACGTAACTATGCCATATTGACATATTATTGTAAACAACAATTTTTTACTAAAACTGTCTCACAGACAGAAATAAAAGTAAATATATATACTTTGGCAATAGATTAAAGTATCCGTGACATTTGTTTCTATCTATGTGGATTATTCTAAGTAATATTTGATGAAAACTGTTTACTAACCTATACAAAGACAATTGAGGTTGATTTTCGTTCTTTTTTGCACCACACTGCACAATACAACACACAGGCATATTGTTTTTTTGTTTTACTATATATATTTGAAGTTTAAAAAAAATGGTTCTTTGTAATTTACTGAAAAACCGCAATAATTTAAAACATAAACAACCGTTTGACAGGACAACTACCATGAAACTCAGGTACTCTGAGCGCTTAAGATGGCGGACATGGCACTTACCTACAACTTTGCTAATGTCAAAATGATTTGTTTCCATATTAAGCAACAACTTAAATATTGTTGTCCCTTTTGTCTAATACAATTATTGCATTGACATAGGAAATATAAGGACTTGAAATACCTACGAAACAAAGGTGCATACCTACAATCCAAAATTTCGCATAAGATGGCTGCCGTTGCTAGGGTTGTGCCGACTACGTATTTAACGAGTATCGATACAATTTGAGTATAAGTTCTACGTAGGTATAGCTTTAGGGATTAGCCAGCTGATTAACGGTATTTTTTTATGGGAAATCATCTAATGTCATCTCCGGCACTTTTCGTGACAGACCGTTACTGACTAAAATCAACTCCTGTTCCTACTTTGCCGTCGGCCTAGCTAGAGCCCGGAACCCGGGGTTACCTAGGTCTCTTGATTGGCTAATGATTTTCTCAAGTCGAATTTGTATCCATATAATTCTACGGCAAGCATCTCTAAAAAAACATACAATCGAATTGAGAAACTCCTCCTTTTTTTGAAGTCAGTTAAAAAATAGGACTGTGTTTATGAACAGCGTTTAATGGAATGGTAAAATAGAAAAAGATAGTTTTTGTTAAATGTTTATCCGCCGAAATATGGGGCCCCTTAAATGCGTATGTGCAACACCTGTCGGAATTTGTGATGTGCTCGCGCACAATTTCGGCTCGTCTGATTAAGCGATGATATCTTCGAAACTACATTAGCATAAAATAGATAAGTAGTGAAGTCAATCTTACTGTATGTATCTCACTTTTTATTATTAAGCTTAGTGGTCGCACTGGGATCGCCGCCAACGCTGCTCTGTCAATCGGGCCCGGATAATTATAAAACATGACAATTTGAACTTCTACTTATGTAACTAAAACCAATACCAAAATACTGACGTCTTACTTTAGCCTTACACAAAATAGATTATTTAGGATAATATATTATGTTGAATTTTAAATGGGAGATTATATCGATACTTTTGTGGAATGGTACGTAACTATGCCATATTGACATATTATTGTAAACAACAATTTTTTACTTAAACTATCTCACAGACAGAAATAGAAGTAAATATATATACTTTGGCAATAGATTCAAGTATCCGTAACATTTTTTCTATCTATGTGGATTATTTTAAGTAATATTTGATGAAAACTGTTTACTAACCTATGCAAAGACAATTTAGGTTGATTTTCGTTCTTTTTTGCACCACACTGCACAATACAACACACAGGCATATTGTATTTTTGTTTCACTATATATCTTTGCAGTTTAAAACAATGGTTCTTTGTAATTTACTGGAAAACCGCAATAATTTAAAACATAAACAACCGTTTGACAGCACAACTACCATGAAACTCAGGTACTCTGAGCGCTTAAGATGGCGGACATGGCACTTACCTACAACTTTGCTAATGTCAAAATGATTTGTTGCCATAATAAGCAACAACTTAAATATTGTTGTCCCTTTTGTCTAATACAATTATTGCCTAAGAAAGAGTGAGAAAAAACTATATTTCATAGTTTGTTTCATATTTAACCCATATTTGTATAAGCGGGTATACATCTATATTAACAGGGCGCCTCTATATATTTTCTATCTCAATGGAATTTTAGGACGACGTTTAAAATCTATTACACTGACAGTGACACATGTCAATGTCAATGTCAGTTTGTAGTTGTAAATGTACCTAACAGAAACCTCTCACGGCTTCCGTAAATAAATAAATATTTGGAATTAAATTTAGACAGGCGCGTTGTAAATGATAGCTGGTCTAGGTTTTAAATAGTGTGGATATCAAGTCTTCGTCTTTAGTAATTCTTTCGCGTAGAAGGTGCGTGTCTAAGTCGTGCTGTACTGCGGCGGCGGCGCTACCGCAATCAATCACGGTGTTCGCAATGTGGGACTCGTCAGCGTTCTTGGGCGCGCTGACGCCCAAATTTTACGTCGCACTCACAGGCACCTCTTCGCTGATCTCTGGCCTAATCCTGATCTTCGAGTGGTGGTATTTTCGCAAGTACGGCACGTCGTTCATCGAGCAGGTGTCGCTGACACACCTGGGCCCGTGGCTGGGCGGCGGCAGCGCGACGACGGAGACGGAGGCGGCCGACACCAAGGTCTGGCGCAACCCGCTATCGCTGCTGCGCGGTGCGGAGTATGGCCGTCTCTGGAGCGCCGCGCGCCGGGCTCCACTCACGTACTATGACATGAACCTCTCGGCGCAGGAGCACCAAGCCTGGTTCGGCTGCGGAGCTGAGGTATTGCTCTTGCCTACCTGATGACGCCCCTGCCTAGTCTTCAATTGGTTTGGGTATATGACTAGTTATACCTAAGTATGTCTGATCCTAAAATGCATGTTTGCTTCTGAAATTCTAATATCAGAAATGAAATCTGTATTAGGATTCAGTAGACCAAATATATCTGTATATTATGTTCACATATGTCATGCAGGCATCCTCACAGACTATGTTCGTCAAAAATATTAATTATGATTGTCTTCTGCTATAATAAATGCAAAGCAGTTATACTAAATACAGTTTGGAATTTATGAAAAATAAAGAAGAAAAAGAGAGCTTAGAGTAACTGCAAGCATGATTATTGAATCCTTTCACACCATTGATGTTAGAACCTGAGCTTTAAACGGCTAACTCTGAAGCTTTTGGTAGGTATAAAATAATGGGATAAACATGTGATATGTTGATTTTCTAATTGCCAACTCCTTAGTCTGAACAAAAGGTGTGATGTAAAAAAATATTCTTTTGCTAAGAAATTTTTTATTACAACATATAATTTAATACTGACTGTTTACTCATGTTTGATGCATTTGCAGTTTGTGTAGCTTTCCAAGATGAGTTTTGTTTGAAGTAATGTACATGTTTGAACTATATATGTATATTAAATTTTATTTTTCTTCAATCCTTTTTCTACATTTCTAGTTTTATTTTTTTTCCTTCTAGAATGTACAATTTTTGTTTATTTAACTAATTGTGATTTAAGTGATTTCAAAGTCTTAAAGACAGGCAAAAGAAGTCGGTTTCAAAAGTTCTCATAAGTACATGGTTTATATACTTATGTTATCGACGCGTTTTGTGAATGAATGTTTGCCTTATGCCTAACATTGTGTCCAAAAACAAAATTGAGAGGTAATATGAAATCGTAGTAAAAGTATAGGTTTTAGTATAAAAAGAGATGCATACGGATAAGAGTAAAACGGCGGGCGGTCCCGGCAGGGCCCCGCGGAGGAGGCCATGGCGCGCGCGTGGCGCGAGCGCGAGCCGGGCGCGCGCGTGGCGGCCGCCCGCGCCGCGCTGGCGCTGCGCAGCGACTGCGCCGCCGCGCTGCTCTTGCTGGCCGAGGAGGACGCGCCCACCGTGTACGAGGCCGAGCGAGTGCTGCGCCGCGCCTGGCGCGCCGCCGAGCAGGCGTGGCGCGCGTCGGCGGCGGCGGGCGCGGCGGCCGAGGCGCGGCGCGACGCGGCCGTGCTGGCGCACGTGAAGCGCCGCGCCGCCATGTGCGCCCGGCGCCTGGGCCGACTGCGTGACGCGGCGCGCCTGTTCCGCGACCTGGCGCGCGACGCGCCGCCCGCGCTGCATGCGCTGGCGCTGCACGAGAACCTCATCGAGGTGCTGCTGGAGCAGAAGGCCTACGCCGACGTGCAGGTCGCTACCTCTCTAGCTTTACGCGCCCCCGACCTACCCTTCACCTACCGGATCGATTTTTCTTGTGTTGTGGATGTTAATGATTTGCATCGATCGCTTGCCATCGGATGAATCGTATTTTCGTATAATTTTGCAGAAAATAAATAAATCTGGCCCCTATGTGATATCTAGCCAAATACAAGTTTGAATATGGTCCGGTGGACATTTTTATAAATGAAGAAATAAAATTGTTCTTTTAAACTTCTGTGTAATTATGCCGAGCGTTATCGATGAACACCTAAAACCGTGGCACTTATTATCGTTCTATATGAAACCGAAGTCAAATATTTTAATTTATATTCAACATCATCAACCTATAGGTACTTACTGCTGAGCAAAGACCTCTTCTCACACGGAGAAGGTTTAAACAATCACAGAAAACACATGGAACTCTTATGAAAAATGTCACATTGGTGGGTTTCGAACCCTTATTCATGAAAAGGGCTCACCTCCTTCGGGCCACCGCGACGTGTTTTGTGACCTATATTAACATATAAACATATTGTTATATTTCAATGAAAGTAACACTTGATACACGAATTTGTGTTAGGGAGATGTATCATTGTTCGTGAAGACGTCAGAGAAACAATTAGTATATTTGCGGCGGCGCAGGCGGTGCTGGCGCGGTACGACGACGTGGGGCTGCCGCGCTCGGCCTGCGTGTGCTACACGGCCGCCTTGCTGCGCGCCCGCGCCGCCGGCGCCGCCGCCGCCGGGGGCCCGGCCGCGCGCCAGGCCGCCGAGCTGGCCGCGCTCGACGCCATGCGGCGCGCCATCGAGTTCAACCCGCACGTGCCCGAGTACCTGCTGGAGCTTCGCGCGCTGACGCTGCCGCCCGAGCACGTGCTGCGTCGCGGCGACAGCGAGGCGCTGGCCTACGCCTTCTTCCACCTGCGGCACTGGCGCGCCTGCGGCGGCGCGCTGCGCCTGCTGGGCGCCGCGTGGGCCGCGGCCGAGCGCGGCGCGGGCGCGGGCGCGGGCCCGGCGCCGGCGGCGGACCGCGAGCTGCTCCCGGCGCACCACGCGGGCGGCGGCGCGGCGGCGCGGCGGCGGGCGCCGGCGCTGCTGCCGCTGGCGGCGGCGCTGTGCGCGGCCACGGCGCTGCTGGCGCTGCTGGCGCACCGCTGGCCGGCGCAGGCGCACGCGCTGGCCCGCGCCGCCGCCGCCGGCCTGGACCCGCGCCGCCTGCATACCTTGCTGGCCGCCGTCTGAGCGTCTGTCCCTCTCCTGTCTGCATTTAATTACCTTCTAGGAATAAAGTCTTGATCGCCTATCAATAATGCTTTTTATTTCGGGGATTCAGACATTATTGTTTATAGTCGGGATACTCCGACGCCGATCACTTAAAAAAGGTCGTTGTAAAACTGACGCCGGTGTAACTATATTGAAGGAAATATTGGGTGCTTGGGAGGAAGCACAGAATGCTGTTGGTGTCTTTTGCGACCTCTTAAAAGCATTCGATAGCGTTAATCATGAAACAGTTTTCCTGAGATTAAATCATTACAGGATTAGATACTGCACTCCGACTACTAAAATCATATTTAGAAGAGCGGCTACTAAAGGTTCATGTAGGTGGTCTCAAGTCACAGGCCTCTGAAATGCCAGACAGCAGGGCTCGATATAAGAACCGTTTCGCTTTTTAGTGTAATGGCTTGCCATTTCTACTGAATCTAGAATGATGGTGTTTGCAGATGATACCTACAACATTAATTTGACAAAGCAAAGAGCTCTTTTCGTCAAGTTGAACACCCTTAATAGGTAATAGAGGCGTAACGAGTGCGTTGCCGGCCGTTAGAGGATTATTATAATAATCGGCTGGGTGATGTATTTATTTGTTTTATTTATTTATACTTTTTGCACAATGTAGGCACAATGGCGAACTTACCGCCGTAGGCGTTCTCTTCCAGTCTATCTTTGAGAAATAGAAGTGGTAGGTGCAACTTTGTTGGATATAATAATGTCGAAACAAAACACGTGTGTTTTAAGTTTTTGATGGTAATTTTGGAATGAGTAAACCGATTTTAATTATTCTTTTTTATTTGAAAGAAGATACGTACAGAATAATACATATACAAAGTTAAACAATCCATATTTTCTAAATTCATGGTTCAAAAGTAAGAGAGGGAGGGTTAAACTTATGGACCGATTATTTCCGAAACTATTACCTAACATTAAAAAAAATATCTTAGTAAACCCCTATGGTTTCGCCATGTCTGTCTGTCTGTTTGTCCGTCCACGAATAATCTCAGTGACCGTTATCACTAGAAAGCTGAAGTCAATCACAGCGAGAAAGAGGTAAAACAAAAAGTGGAAGAAAAATTTTTTATTAGGGTACAACCCCACACGTAAAATATGGAGTGGAATTTTTTTCATTTCAATCCTGACATGTAATATATTTATTTATTTTTTATTTTTTTATTGTTGTTTACGTGTTGGATAGGTATTTAAAAATGAAGAGGGGTTTACTATGATTTTTGATTTTGTTAATATTTTCGGAAATAATCACTTCAAAATTTTAAAATAATAAGAAAATATGGAAAAAAAATAGAAAGTACCTAGACCTTCATACTTCATTTTTTCTAGGAAAATTAGTTTGAACAGATTTTTGAAATATTGTACAAAAATAATCGGAACTAATTTTGCTATTTAACCGTAATTTTTTTATTTTTTTGTTCTTTCCTTTCACGGGACCACAGGCTCCCGGACCTTTGGAAGACGTACGAGGAGCTGAAGCCAGTTGAACAGTTTAATATAAATGTGATGGGACATCAGCCGGCAATTATCCCTGTATGCACTATATAAGTGCACCCAAGGACAATCCCCGGTTGATGCAGGACTATTGTGAAATGTGGTAAAAATTGATAGGGTTATAGGTATGGGTTGCTATGGACTGGTGGATATGATAACTATGGAAATACTGTGGCCCCTGCCCCTGACCAATATTGATACATACGGATAAACAGGCAGGGGGTGACTGGCAAACTCAATTAATGGGCCCCCGGAAACGGCCGCTAGCGTATAGCGACAAGGGGGCAACATACGTTGAGCTGCTTGGGGAAGGAGAGGCATCCCACGGCTATCAGAGCAATCCCGAAAGTACGGTCAAGACCCCTACCAGCACCTTACTGGGATACATCCTTCCCCCGAGTCTCCTTCAACTCCTACTCTTGCGAATCTCCACTTAAGCCAGCCAATTAAGGCAAGAATGAGGTAGGAGGGATTTTTATTCTTATCTATATATTTTATTATTCTGAACGTATCTTCTTTTAAACAAAAAAAGAATTATGAAATTCGGTTTGCGGAATCCAAAATTACCAACTTGTCTAGTTTATATTTATTAGTACTTAGGTAATCTAATTCTCTAAGAGACGGCGCTGTATTAAGAAACCCTAAAAAATCGTCAAAAACCTTTCCATTCACATATGTGTAACGAAGACCAATATTATATTTTTTACTTAAACAAAAATTGATTTTGTTCTTTTTACAAAAGAACAAAATCAAAGTATACCTATACATAAAATTTGTTATTAATCGTTTCATTTTTATGGGTACACACATGATGATGACATGATGCGTCATCATAAAATGTGTTTGGTGTTAAATAGAACACCGAACATTACTCGTACCTAGTTACTAAGTGTCCGCTATCCGTCCATAGATAGAATGGTACGGATCTAACTAATAGGTAAGTATTACTAATATTTCATAAAACCTATTATATTAAATTATATTACATTTTATACCGTCGCGTCGAGCGCGGCAACCGTTACACAAAAATAATCAAAAGCATGATTCAATGTTCACATGCGACGGCGTGATGGCTTATTATCCGAACTTCTAAGCTATCAGGAGTTACACGTGCTAATGTGAGTTAATCATAAAAAATAGGCACAAAATGCTGTAAACATTTTTTTTTGATAATTTTATGTAGAATATTTCGGTGATACATAATTTCTATGTAACTTTTACCATTACCTAAGGCTCTACACACGACGGAAACTTAAAAAAGGGGGTAACGTACCCGTTTCCCCAACATTTCCCTTCACTGCTCTGCTCCTATTATTTGTAGCGTGATGAATAACCTATAACCTGCCCCGGAGTATAAAGAATAATTGTACCAAGTTTTGTTAAAATCCGTTGAGTAGCTTTTGTTTCTATAAGGAACATACAGATAGACAGACAAATATTTTACTGATTGCCGTTTTGACATCAGCATCGATCACTTATCACCCACTGGTAGTTATTTTGAAAAAATATTTAATGTACGGACTTGACCCCTCTACAGATTTATTATAAGTATAGATAAGCATAGATCGTATATGTGTCAATGCATAGGTAATAGCTAGCTTGCTTGTTGCCTCTACAAAATGTTATTACTTCCTCCCCTGTAAATAGAAACCAAATATAAGTTTAGCCGTATGATCAGTTTATTGTTTGTGTAATATCAGACACAGGAAGTTTTTGTAGTACCTAGTTAGCGCGGCGTGTCACGGACGGCGGACGGCGCGCGGCAGTTTGGCGGCGCGCGTCCGCCGCGACGGAGGCTCGGGGCGCGGAACATGCGGCGCGCGCCATCGCTCGCTCAGCGCGGAATACTTCATAACTTTTAAAACTCACTTTGAAGTTATTTTGTCACTCGACTCGATCTCGTTACAGTCTGGAATTTGTATAAAATTTCCGATTTAAGAATACTAAACATTTTTGCCGAATGGCTCGGTAACCTGATAGAGTTCAGTAGTGATGCGATGAGCGGCGCGCCGGCGGCGGTGACTGTGTGGCAATGTGGTGAGAGGTGGCCGCGAGCGCCGCATGGCGCGCCGCCTCGTGCTCAATGGGCTGACGGCCGAGGTGGGCGGCGGGCCCGCGCCGCCAGCGCTGGGCTCCGCGCCCTGCTCGGCGCCGGGCTCGCCGGACTCGCTGGAGTTCTACCACGAGCTGGAGTTGTACCGCCAGCTGCTGGCACTGCCCGCCGCGCCTCCGGTCCTGGCCCCGGCCCCGGCCCCGGCCCCGACCCCGGTCCCAGCCCCGGCCCCGCCGCAAGAGCTCGGCCGGCGGCGCGCGCGCACTCCGGATCCCACGCCCTCTACGAAATACCATGGTACTTGGATGTCATTTTTTCTACCGTTATTTTGTAAAGTCAAATACATATGATGTGTTCCAAACGAACAAATATACATATATACGTAAGATTAGCCCATCGGATACGTGTATGGGGACATACACGGTGTCAGGATGGACGAGTGTAAGGTTTAGGATTATTTCAAACCCTGTACCTGTATTTAACTTTATGTTTTATATTTTTTATTTTTAGAATGAGTTTCTCAATTGACTTGAAACATTGGCGGGAAAATTTAATTTATGGTTGTCAGCAGCAACTAGCAACACGGGAAGAAAATGGTGGGAATTCGGGTGGAGCTCACAGAACCGTAGCGATATTTAATATTTGAAAATAAATAAATATTGATTGTATAGTGGAGGTCTTGGCGTTTAATTTGGAGTGGAATGTTATATATAGTTAGAAAGTATCAATCAGTTTCAACATTTAAATTGATGGTTACTTAATAAAGTTGGTTAAATTATGTGATAAAACTATTAAAGACAAATTTTTCGCTAGAGATCGGTAAACGTTAACAAATCTTGTACGACTTGCAATTTCTTGTATTTTCAGTTTGTTCTTTTCCTCCGTATTGTTGTCCTCATTCCTACCAACAGTAGCAGCAACATACAGACACACAAGCAATACATTGCTTATGTTTCTTTCTTTGTTTATTTCGGTAAGATAACCGTGATTACAAATGTATAAAAAGCGAGTTAATTAGTATAATATAAGCAATGATCGTGTAGTAAGTGCATAATATCGTGTGCAGATGAACCGCGGCGCAGTCGCACGCCAGGTGGGGGCGCGCGCGCACTGGCCCCGCCCATGCGCCCCGCCCCCTCCCTCGCCCCTGCCAGCCCCATCCCCACCGCTGCCGCCGTGCGCCATGCCCGGGTATGTACTATTTTATTCTTTATAACATAATTCACAAAACCTGCAGAGCGGTTTCAACCATTGAAGCGCTACATCCAGTGGCTACCACTGTAGCGCTACGTGTGCTGGCTACAGCAGTAGCCCTACGAGTGTTGGCTACAGCAGTAGCGCTACGAGTGCTGGCTACAGCAGTAGCGGTACGAGTGCTGGCTACAGCAGTAGCGCTACGAGTGCTGGCTACAGCAGTAGCGCTACGAGTGCTGGCTACAGCAGTAGCGCTACGAGTGCTGGCTACAGCAGTAGCGCTACGAGTGCTGGCTACAGCAGCAGCGCTAGGAGTTCTGACTTATTAAATAAAATATTGACTTTTTTATAACCTATTCCACACGTAGGGTTTCTATATTTTCTCCATTTCTAAGATCACCATTAACTTCATTTGTTCAATCGTTTCAGAGTTTTAGTTAAGTAGGTAACGTACAGCAATATTTTTTATGCATATAATATACTAGCGTTCCGCCCCGGCTTCTAATAGTATCAATTCTGATACAAAAATTTTCCACTATTTAATATGTAGATGTTATTATACATTCCCTTTAATTACTCTATCTATTAAAAGAAACTGCATTAAAATCAGTTGCGTAGTTTCAAAGATTTAAGCATACATACGGATATAGGGACAGAGAGATCGACTTTGTTTTACGGTACCTAGTGATGTATAAGATTTTTGGTTTTGACAAGTCGAGCTGTCCTCATTTCGTGTCCGTCCAGTCTGAGTCAATCAACACGCGCTGTGAGGAGATTGCTGGGATTATTAAAATTTGGCAAAAGTGCCGCTCATTTACCGCTTGACTGCGTGCCTCCCGCCCTCTCATTACCGACACATTTTATTAATAGTTCCGCGCGATTGCTCGCTAATAGGCCACGAATACAACAACCGACCTACCGTCCCAACTACGCTGCTCGGTTTACGACTGATGATGAGCCTCTCGACAGTTTACTTCGACGCTCATTCCGTGAGCAACTTATCAAGTTGGTTATAGTTTGTGCACGTAGTAGCGCGGCGAGTGGCGTACGTGACGTCACGGTCGCTAATTGATTGATGATTGTGTGCATTGGGTGTCGGCACACTCGCCGTTACACTGGCGGTGGTGATGAGACGAGCTCATCCAATGCATTTGTATCCACATATTGATCATATAGTGTTAATATATTACTTTACGAAACAATCACATACATAATATTTACTATTTTTTTTTAAATGAAGAAGTACTTGAATTTACTGTGGAAAGCTCCACTAGTATCAAGTTATGTCATTCATGAGCAGGTAGGCATTGCTCAGTCAGGAAAACATTCACGTGAGTAAGACATTATTTAAAATATTATAAATTAGCTGTTGTCCGCGGCTCCGTTCGCATTCAGTTTACACACGCGCCGTTGGTACATTACTGCTAGGTTGCATCAAAATCCATTGAGGAGTTTTTGCGTGAGTAACAAATGTGGAAACATCGTCACAAAATGTCGCGTATAATATTATGCTTATTAATAGAGTATAAAGATATACATAAGGTCTATAACAACGTTAATTTTACCAGGTTTTAATGTTTAATTATGTTGCCTTGGTTGGTGTTTTAGATATGCTTAGGATGTTATGATAATAAGGGTTAAAAAGTATTATCTGTATTTATATTATAAAGAGGTAAACTTTGTATGTTTGTAAGTTTGTATGTAGGGGGTAATCTTTGGAACCGCTAGTCGGACTACCAAAATTCGTTCACTGAAAGATAGCTACAATGTTCCCAAGTGCTATAGGCTATAAAACATCACGCTACGATTAAATGGAGCCGAGCAGTGGGTGAAACCGCGCAAGAATAGCTAGTGCTTGATAAAATAATGAGGTCATTTAAGAAAGTTGCTTGCTTCCCTTTGTCAAAACATAGTTTTCTGGATTTGATACACAACATGAGCATGCCACATAGAGGTGCTCATGAGTGAAACAGGTTTAGGAAGGGAGCTGTACTCCTTTAAATTAAAATGCCAAAATCAGCCGGGATGAAGGGAATATGGGGAATCAATTCATTTTGTCATTTTGCCATTCCAGTCCTGATTACAGCCTTTACAATATTGTGACCCAAAAGTGTTACTTGTATTATAATTTGCTGTAGTTTATCATAGTTACACACAAAAACAGCCAGATCACTATTAGGTGTTACACTGTGATGAAGTTAGGTGCCTAGCCAGGAACAGATTCGCAGCTACTCGCGCTCGTTGAAAAGAAGTGGTTTATAGTGACTCTTGGCCCTGTCTGTAGATAGAAAACACTAGACCGAGCTAAGGATGCCATCACATGAATATTCAGCGCCACGTGGTCCTCCTGGGTCGCGTGTCGTGTCTGCCTGTACTAGCCTCGTGTGATTTAGCCTTCATTGTACATTTCTTTTTGACTTAGAATGTAATTAGAATGAAGATCTTTCCATTCCATTGTAATTACATTATAGTCTGACTGTCGATTCCATCACATCTGCCTTCTGACAGACAACTCATGTAAAATATTAATATTCTAATAAAATTCTTTGTCTATATCAAGTAAAGCAGCAAGGCAAAGAAATATAGTATTTAATAGTAGCGTGAAGCAGTGGTGTGTAAGCGGGGCGAGCGAGCAGTCCAGCACACGCAGCGGCTGTAGTGGGACGGCGGGCTCTGGTCAAGTACGTGGCGATCGATAGCTCAAGTTAATCAAGCGCCGAAGCCGCACTTAGCGCCTCTTATCTAACACTTATCAATTAATGGAACCCATCTCCCCCGGCCGCACGCTCCGCCGATGACACCAGCACTTGGGTTTTTACTTGGCTATTTTATTCTGTCTCTTCAACAGAATTAAACTATATACAAATGTACACAAAACTGTATGTTTAAAAGGTAATCAATTTAGAAATGCTGGGTTGTGCTTCATAGAGTGGTGCATATACATACATAAATACCTGGGTAACAATTATATCGCGCAATATGTTTATTAGCATTCAGCAATCAAGTGTGGGACAGCCATGCTTCGGCACGAAAGGGTCGGCTCGGCTGGAGTCATACCACGGTCTCACAGAAAACCGGCGTGAAACTACCACAGCGTTGTATTACACCGTATGAGTGAGGTTACTGGAGGTTCTTCCAATTCTTAAGTATCCGAAATTTTAATCCTCAATAGGCCGGCAACGCACTAGTAATTCCTTTAGGTAATCTGTTCGTGTACAGTCCAATTAGATAAAAAAGCAGCGTTGTCCAATAACGTGCAATATTGTCAGAGTGCGCAGGGCCTGCTCGCTCGGAGTGGAACACTGGCGTGAAACAGCACTTGTGTGGTGTCTCGCCGCGTCACTGAGGCTAATGTGTGTTCGTGGTAGAGCCTATAATTTCCTTGGAGGGTGCTGATTGCTTACCATAAGATCAACCGTCGGATGTTTGTAGTCCTGTCCCATATTTCGTGCTTTATTGTCATTAGCATAATAAATACGTGTAGTGATATGTGAAGCTTGAGTTGTTTAAGGAGGATTTCTTGACCTGCTTAAGGTCAGCAATAGACGGGCTGCATGAAGCTAATATAAATTCCTCGGGTGCGGGCGGGCGTGACGCGCTAGCCGCGGTCGAGTAACAATGCTAATAGGCGAGGTTTGCATTCTCAGCCGCAGCTTGGCCGCGTGCGACTCACTGTGTAGCACTTGGCAATAGCGGCGTCGACTACACACCGCAACTAATGTTAACCCTAATGTGTTTATATGTGACAATAAAGATGGTGACACGAACAGGGCCGATGTTCTGTCGGGGTTGCGGGCAACTGCAATAAGGTTCCGCGGCCTCGGCCTAAAGCAGGAGAAGGAACGGAAGGTACAGGAAGGCAGTAAGAGTCTGACACTCACTCTCGCCCACCTGGCTCACCCTGAGCGAGAGAAGTCATTTGATGGTTTTCCCCTCACAAAAAGGGGATAAAATATGGTAGTTGAAATAATTTACATCCGAAATTTACTGCGTTACTGTTGTAATAATGTAGATCTGCCATAGTTGGCGTGTGGCTGTAGGGTAACAAGTGCATAGCGCGGTTTGTAGGTAACGACAGACCGAATTAATTGAATGCAATGTAGAATGATTCAAGGTCTGTGGTTTGATTTTACTCGTCACGTGTCTGTGAAGAGAAGTTGCATTTATAATGTTCGGTAGCATCACGTACACAGTACGTTGCAATACAACATTGGTCGTTGTATTCTGCTGATCTAAGACTATTGATACAGCTTTTATTATTAAACCTTATTACTTTGAATACGTACAAAGCTTTTAGTTCCTTACAAATACGTTTGAAATTAAGTTTTATTCAAAGTTTGGGATGTTTCCAGTGGAAAAGCTCGGTCGGCTAGCACAAAAGGGAAATGTGTACAATATTGTGGCGGAAAAATACGCGCTATTTAATAGCAGGCGGGAGTGAGAGCCGGCCGGCAGGTATTCCTTTGTAGCAGCGCAGACACGCGGCGCCGCCCACTCCAACACGCTGCGTGCTGTTGCTGGCCGCCGTCACCCACTTGCTACTACTGACACTGGTACAAACTTCACTACCCTGATTTGGTAGGATAGAATCGAATAGTTTCTGTTTGACTGCAAAAGCTGGTTGCTGCGCATCGTATCGCATGTTCGATTCCCGCACGGGACAACTCTGAGTGATCCACAAATTGTTGTTCTGGATCTGGGTGTGACGTGTATGTTACATTCTATATTATTTATAAACGCACCCACGACACAGGAGATTATCCTAGTGTGGGGCAAAGTTTTATTAAAAAAGGAAAAGCAAAAGGAAACCTTTACCCTTTAAATATGTAAAATTTAGAAAAAGGAATATATGAAAGTGGTACTATCGAAATGCATTCGTTGTTCAAACACAACACACAACACAAATGTACAAATGATACCTATACATGAAATACTCAAGCACTTCATGAAGTATAATTTCGACATATATTTGTCGGAGCTCGCGTCCCAGCGCTCGGCGCCGCAGCCGGAGTCGCTCGGTATGCAACACACGAGTAACCTCACTTTACTTGTTTATTGGTTTCCACAACAATGGGTGTAAAGAAGTGTGTGGGTTACAAGTACTTACAAATGATTTTTTCATATGCTATTGCTATCCTAAATATGTATGTTAAGACACAGAATCACCTCCAGCTATTAATTAGCAGTTACCAATAATGTAGTACTAGCAGGCTCGAAGGTAAGCTGCATAAAAAACGACGTGTCCGTATGTTGACACGACACACAGGTTTCTTGTTACCTGTGCTGGTGTCACGTAAGTTAAGGAATGACAGACGGCACACTGTTCAAT